CACTCAGTTTATGGAGAGGAATGTGTGAATGAAAGAACTTGCAGAAGATGGTTTGCAAAATTCACAGGTGGAGATTTCACCCTTGAAGATGAAGATGAGTTTGATGAAAAGCTTCTTGAAGCAGCACTTGAAGAAAATCCTGCTTTATCAGTTGAGGAATTGGCAGTGGTTCTCAGTTCAAATCATACAAGTGTTCATCGTCATCTTCAACAACTTGGAAAAGTTGCTAAACTTGGAAAATGGGTGCCTCATGAATTGTCTGAAAACAACCTCAAATCTCGAGTTGACATCTTCTCTTCTCTCCATTCTCGCCAACTTGTTTCACCTTTTTTGGATAGACTTGTTACTGGCGACGAAAAATGGATCTTTTATCGAAATGTTAAGCGTCGTAGACAGTGGCTTGGTAAAGAGGAAGGACCCCAGCCACAGCCGAGAAGGGAACTTCATGGGCAAAAGGTTCTTCTTTCAATCTGGTGGGATCGCCAAGAATAATCCATTTTGAATTCTTACCACCTAATGCAACAATTAATGCTCAAATATACTGTCAGCAATTAGAGCGTTTGAACCAAGCTTTGGGGAAAAAAGGACCTGCTCTAGTGAATCGAAAAGAGGTGATGTTTCATTAGGACAATGTGCGACCCCACACAGCAAGAATCACGTCAAAGAAGATCGAAGAACTTGGTTAGGAGAAAATTCCTGATCCACCTTATTCTCCCGATCTTGCTCCTTCAGACTACCATTTGTTTCGTAGCTTACAGAATTATTTGGAAGAAACAGATTTTGTAACACAGGAAGAAGTTGAAACTGACATTTGTGAGTTCTTCGAATCAAAGCCAAAAGAATTTTACAGGAATGGAATTAGTAAGCTTGTTAATAGATGGAAGGAAGTCATAGATAATCAGGGAAAATACATTGTTGATTGAATCTGTAATTAAATGTAACATTTGGTCACTCATTTTCTTTATTCAAAATTCGGACAGAACTTATGGGATGACCTGATATCTTTCCAAAATTGGATCTTGTAAAGAAGATATTCTAAAATAGATGTTAAACTCAGATTGCTCATTAACCCTTTCGCATTTAAAGACGCCCCGTCAATATCAGCCGACAAAGTCTCACTGTTCGCGTGACTTCCTGTGTTATTTCAAATAATGACATCATATATTGTGACTATATTTACGGGGCGGGTTTGAATGCGAAAAGGTTAAATGGATAAAAATCGTACTGAAGAAATTTTACAAACTCTAGATTGAATGTATAGAAATTTTGAAAAATGTTGACATAAGATCTCTGGATTGGATGAGAAAGGCCTTTCTTTTAAATGCAGGTACGTCGATTACTTCTTGTTCTATCTATCTATCTATCTATCTATCTATCTATCTATCTATCTATCTATCTCTTGGTCTGTTCATATCTATCTATCTATCTATCTATCTATCTATCTATCTATCTATCTATCTCTTTCAGGGTGTTTCTATCTATCTATCTATCTATCTATCTATCTATCATCTTGTTCGTATCTATCTATCTATCTATCTATCTATCTATCTATCTATCTATCTATCTATCTATCTATTTCAGTCTTTTTCTTTCTTTCTATCTATCTATTTATCTATCTATTTCAGTCTTTTTCCCATCTATCTATCTATCTATCTCAGGTTCTGTTCATATCTATCTATCTATCTATCTATCTATCTATCTATCTATCTATCTATCTATCTATCTCAGTCTGTTCAGATCTATCTATCTATCTCATCTTGTTCGTATCTATCTATCTATCTATCTATTTCAGTCTGTTTCTATCTATCTATCTATCTTGTTCGTATCTATCTATCTATCTATCTATCTATCTATCTATCTATCTATCTATCTATCTCTGTATGTTCAGATCTATCTATCTATCTCATCTTGTTCGTATCTATCTATCTATCTATCTATCTATTTATCTATCTATCTCAGTCTGTTTCTATCTATCTATCTATCTCATCATGTTCGTATCTATCTCATCTTGTTCGTATCTATCTATCTATCTATCTATCTATCTATCTATCTATCTATCTATCTATCTATCTATTGCAGTTTGTTCATATCTCCTTATTTATCTATCTGAGTCTGTTCATATATACATATATATCTAAAATATTGACTGGATTTGGTGAGAAATTCTATTTTTGTAGGTCCGGGCACGTCAGCAAATTCAAATATTACTGAAGAGGAAGTGTTAAGAGAACACAAGAGACAACAGGAGAATTGCAAATAAACATATTAAACCACAGATATTATATCATACGCAGTCTCCATTAAGGATGACTTTACAAATATTACAAGAAAAATAAAACCAACAGAAATACATCTTCCGTGCCTAACGCCATATATGTGCGAAGTAAGCTTTTCTGTAATAAACAATATCAAAAACAAAAATCGATAACGGCTAGAATCCTTAGAAGAAGCTTTCAGAATATGTCTGTCCAAAATTCGACCTTGCAAACGAGATATTCCAAAACAGATATTAAGCTCGGATATCTTATTTAGTGTTAAATTATAATAAACAGATATATATATATATATATATATATATATATATATAATTAATTCATCAAGTTTAGAAGAAACCTCAACAGAATGCAGAAAGCAGTGGACGGCCGTTTCGTCCTATATTTGGGACTCATCAGCAGTGCGCATCCACTATCAGTTACGTTATCAGACACACGTCATACCAACTGTACTAACAGGCCTCGGTGATAAAGAGGTAGCGAATTAGACTCGATATAGCGCCGATCGAACACATATTACGTGGTGGAACATATGAGTTTCTCTTTTACACATAGAACTGTGCCCCTACGAGCCACGGCTACTATCCCCAAGCCGCTTCATCCAGAGCATTAGAAACCGGTTCAAGCAAGGATATACAAGTGATAGAAATGATTAGGAAGATTTGAGATAATCATAATTATGATTATCTCAAATCCTCCTAATAATTTCTATCCCTTATATATATATATATATATATATATATATATATATTAATAATAAAATTATAGGTAATTAGTATGGAATTTCCAAGAGGTTATAGATCCTTTGAGAGCTCTATGTCAAAAGACAGAACAAAATATACGCTAATTTTATATGTCGTGTATGATGCGACCCCCCCACCTTCTTTTTTTTTTAAGCGTTTCACCCCAAGCAAGGCGGGAAGCCACTATGACGCAAGGGGTTACAGAAAATTTGGAGCAAGATCAGATAGGAGTGATAGAAGAAAGGATGAGGAGACGGGTAGTGGATAGATCAAGGCAACTGGAGATGTCGATTGACATTACATTTTGAATAGCTGGAGATTATAGCTCTCAGGGAAACTGGAATAGGGAAGGATGTTCCACAGGCGAGAGGTGCGAGACATGAAGCTATTGGAGTAGAAGAGACGGCTACATTTAGGAGTTTCGACAGTGAAAGGGTGAGAGCATGATGCCAGCCTCGTAGGGCGCTTGAACTCATGAAGTCTGGGAACCAGCGAATGCAGCTCCTCGGAGCAATTACCATGAAAGTATTTGTAAAACAGAGAGAGAGAGAGGCAGCGGCGCGTCTGTGAGAGAGTGACTGTAGACGAGATGCCAGAACAGGGCCAATTATATTGCATATCTGCCTCTGGAGCTTATCAAGAACCCCGAGGCAAACAGAAGGCGCTGCAGACCATATATGGCAGCAATACTCCATGCAAGGGCGAATTGTTGATTTGTAGATCTGGAGGATCGATTCCGGGGAGAAAGATTTCTTGGCGCGGCACAGGGAGCCAACTTTCCTTGCGGTGGACGAAGCAATTTACTCAATGTATTTGAAAATTAGCTTCAAAATTAGGTCTTCAAAAGTCGCATGATACACTTCTGAAGACCTAATTTTGAAGCTAATTTTAAGAGGGTCACATCATACATGAGATATAAAATTAGCGTATGTACTGCCGGCCCTGACTACACCGTTGACCAAACTATATATCCATTTACTGTAGTCAAAAAGTACAGCTGGATTTACAGTAAACATCGCCCGTTACAACGAGTATATACGCTATATTTTCAATTAATATCTAGTAATTATTGGGGGATCAGTTTATTATTTACTAACAAAAGACAAGCGAGCCCCCATTTTATGTCCAATAGAAACTAATTGTTTTCATTTTTTATGTAGTAATCCTTGGGGGATCAGTTTATTACTTCTTAACAATAAAAAAGCCGTCACCCACTTTATGCCCGGTAGAAACTTTAATTACCTTATAGACGTAATAAGTCTTAATTTTGAAGCTAATTTTAAGAGGGTCACTTCATACATGAGATATAAACTTATCGTATTTAGTGCTGGCCCTGGCTACGCCGTTGACCAAATTTTATATCCATTTACTGTAGTCAAATTAGATTCAAAATTAGGTCTTCAAAGGTCGTATGATATGCAAGCATATGCGATAAGTTTCTTTTTTTTAAAGAATTTTAATTATTGTCTTTTCATAACGAAATATTAGAAATTGTTTTGTTTCTGCTAATAAATAAAACATAAAATGTATCATACACTACTTTATTCGGACTATTGTCTTCATCTTTGTCGCCATATTTATGACAACGTTTCGGCCGTTGTACGCTCCGGCCATCTTCAGGTGGTTGGAATGTCGAACTGAACCCTTTATTTCGCTCACTGGGGACTAGTTCTACGTGCCATATTTAATGGATGTCTGTTATCAGTTATCTCATGTTAATCCCCCTCTCCAAGTTGGACACATGGCACAGTGGATAAAGGCGTTGGTTAGATCCAGTGACAGGACCCATAGAGTGGGAGTCAATACCTGGTTAAGGCAGTGGAGAACGTGGAGAGGGGAATTAACAGGAGATAACTGATAAATGACATCCATTAAACATGGCACGTGGAACTAGAACAGTCTACCCCAGTGTTATGGTCCGGTTCCTTGTACCACGGTGATAGTCCAAGGTAAAACCAATAAAGAAGAACTCGAACACAGGGATGGAATAACACAGATATATTACAAACAGGAATATATACAGAGAAGTAGAAGTGTTAGTATGAACAATCAGGTTTAGTAGAGAGAACAATGTAGTCTTGACCAGTATCACTATTCCAATGTCTTGCAGTAATTGTCTGAACGCGACTCTCTTTCGGACTGCCTCTGACTCGACTCTTGACTCGACTTGAACTACTGACGATATTCAGTCACCCCCCCCACTAAGGCAGCATGTGGTAAAGGGCGGTTATTTAATGTGGGATATCCGAGCCGTGGGTTCGGCCCAAAAATATACACATTGAACCCGTATAAACGGGTTCAGGGTCGGTTTACCTCCCCGAAAGAGACTCCGCCCTTCGGCGTACCCTGCTTCGGGTTCCTCCCCGCCCTAAGGCGGAGAGTTCAACCGAAACAGCCGGTTCAGAGGTGAACGACGGACTCCTCGCCTACTCCTGAGGCGCAGTATTTATTAATTATGGAATAGTCCATTATTATTATTATTATGGGTAAGATCCCATAACATTCAGTGAGCGAAATAAAGGACATTCCAACTACCTGAAGAAGGCCGGAACGTATAACAGCCGAAACGTTGTAATAAATATGGTAACAGAGATGAGGACAATATTCCGAATAATATAAATAGTGTACATGATACCTCATCTCAGAGATATAGGGGCTTTTTGTTTTTACTCATCACAATTTAAGTGTGTCGCGGAAGTTTAACTATAGGGTCAAATTTACCGTGAGATGAAAAAATAGTTTCCTAACCAAAACTAAAGAATCTAGTGCTGTTATTTTAACCAAAGTTGATGGTCTCGGAAGAATTAATAGACTCTTGCCACTATGATAGTGTGACGTTAACGCCAACTGCCAAACTGCCTGTGGCATTGATCATCAGACAACTCGATATGCCATCGAATACTCATTTTTCAAAAGAAATTACGAAGAGTGTCAAGAATAGAGTTTGGATCGATCCCTGTATCTGTAAGTTTGAAACTCGATTGCCGATTAAACGAAAAGGTCAAATTTTATCAGGAATATTTACTGCTTCCAAAACTTTTAGCTGAAGAAATTTTTTTTCTTTCTTTAGTTTCTTGCGTCGGATAATTCCGATGAGAAGGTGAAATCTGTGATCGGGTTATCTCTGTTGAATGGCAAATGGCATCGCGCCATGAACCAACCAAAAATGGAGGAAAAACCATCAAGAAAGAAAAGAAAAAAAAATACCAACAAATAGAAAGTATAAAATATTTGAATGTTTGCCCAAACTTCAAAGAACCATGGTAACGTACGTCTATTAACGATTTTTCAAAAGGGGTACCCGTTTTAACGGGAATATATAAGAATATATATATATATATATATATATATATATATATATATATATATATATATATATATAAAAGCATATATAGATGTGAAGGGTGTATAAGCATATACATAAATAATAAAACGTATCGGAACAGAAATATGTATCTTAGGGCCGATTCTCTGGTTCATGTACTCGGCTATTTACTTTATTAATCTATCGGATTAAGTCGATTCGGAGAGATCTACCTATCTATGAAGGTGTGCAGAAATGTGCTCGGCCTGACCAAGAAGGCCATAACTTAGATCCACGAAACCTGTATGATATTCAACAGAATTCCAAACTTAAATCCAATACATAGTTTCTTAAGTTTCTTTTAAAAGAGGTTCTGTTATCTATCTATCTATCTATCTATCTATCTATCTATCTATCTATCTATCTATTTCAGGCTTCATATCTATCTATCTATCTATCTATCTATCTATCTATCTATCTATCTCAGCCTGTTCATATCTATCTAAGTCTGTTCATATCTATGTGTTTGAGTCCGTTCATATCTATCTATCTATCTATTTCAGTCTGTTCATATCTATCTATCTCATTTTGTCGAATCTATCTATCTATCTATCTATCTATCTATCTATCTATCTCAGCCAGTTCATTACTATCTAAGTCTGTTCATAACTATGTGTTTGAATTCTATTCAAATCCATCTATCTGAATTTGTTAATCTATCTATCTATCTATCTATTTGAGGCTTCATATCTATCTATCTCAGCCTGTTCATATCTATCTAAGTCTGTTCATATCTATGTGTTGGAGTCTGTTCATATCTATCTATCTATCTATCTATCTATCTATCTATCTATCTATCTATCTATCTCAGCCTGTTCATATCTATCTAAGTCTATTCATATCTATGTGTTTAAATTCTGTTCAAATCCATCTATCTGAATTTGTTAACATCTATCTATCTATCTATCTATCTATCTATCTATCTATCTATCTATCTATCTCATTCCTTTTCATATCTATCTATCTATCTATCTATCTATCTATCTATCTATCTAATCGGAGCCTGATTGAATTTGGTCAACATGGGAATTGTGTTCAGGCGCTTGTCTTCAAAACTTGGAACAATTTTGGAGAGCCTACAACATCCATGTCTTTTGTTGGTTTCTCTTATCTTCGCTAGATGATGAAGTCTAGTAAATCTCAATTCTAATTTTATATTTGTGATTTATTTTAGGATATTACATTGGAAACATGTCAAAATCGCTATACAACTGCAATCGTGTTTCGATGCGTATCAACGCATCTCATCAGACAATTGTAAATTACTGGCGAGTGAACGATTTAAAAACAAAATACAGCCTCTTTTTACGAAAAAAAATGGAAAAAAGACAAAAGGGGGTGGTTATAAGGTCGTGGGCTTTACTCTGATCAACCAATCGAATATGATCTCCGTTCAATTTAAACTAAGCCAAGGAACAAATATTAAGAAATTATTTTTCATAAGTAGGTCATGACCCGTAGATTTGAAATCAATGGCAGCAACAGACATTAAACAGGAGTGGATGTAAATGGATACATATTGGCAATGAAAAATGAAGTGTTAATTGTCGAAACTTGACTAATGCATGGAATAATAATGCAACACAAAATGTACTTAGAACAAAATGTATTGAAACAAGAAAGTGTACACAATATTTACATATAGTCTTTTGTATATTCCTGGTAAGACCGTTCCTGGAGAATGTGTTGACTGAGTCGCAGTCGGGCAGAGTCTCTGGTTGAATCTCTTGATTCCTCCCACTCTTCCCCGGTACCAACCATATTTATATGGTCGGTACTCCACTATGCAAATTAGGTGGATCCTACCACAACACTAATTTAACAAAATGTTAAACAAGTTACATGCTTTGTGAGTTTTCTACATAAAAATATTTATAGTCGATAAATAAATAGCTTCTTTAAGAAAACAGTAAATAATTTAAACGTATAGACTTACTTGGTTAATTAATATGCAACTGTTGGCTAAAGATTCTCTATATAAGGTGTTAATAACAATAACCAATCAATGCAAAATACAATATTGCTCTACTTTGGTTGGAAATTGTACTCTATTCGTTCTCATCTTATCAGGACACACACACACACAACTAGTTTGTCTGACGATCGCTAAAGCGTGAAACCCAGGGTCACAAACTCACATCTATCCAACCAAATATGTTAGCTCTATCTCTGATAATGAGCGCTTTCTAATAAGTACCGCGCATATAATATATAAATAATTATACATATATATATTTATTTATAATTATATACACTTTTCACATATAAATATATATATATATATTTTTCCCCAATTCCTTTTATTGTATATTTTTCTGTATTAATTTTAAATCTCCCGTGGAAGCCTGAAGAGCGGGAGCGAAACTGGTTGCTTCCCCCTTGTTGTTGTTTTTTTTTCTTTTTTTTAATACGTCTTGTAATATTAAATTTTATACTTTTATTTCGATCATTAAATTTGTACCTACAAAATATTTAAATATATATATATATATATATATATATATATATATATATATATATATATATATTCGACTCTCCCGTCATATTCGACGTATGAGGGCCAAGGAGCTCCGTTCCTAAGAACTGACAGCCCGACACCAGCACATGAGATTTCATTATATTGGTGAAGGTTTTGTGCAGAACCATCCACACTTTTTGAAGTGACGAATACAGAGATCTGGTGACCTACGTGCTACAAGGACCGCAGGTTTTGAATTTGACTTCTTCTTCTAGACCAGTTGCCACCCAAGGCTATAGAACCCACTCTGTATTTACCCATATGTAGAAGAAGAGGATTCATACCTTTCCCAAGGTTCGACTGTAATTCGAACTCGGCTCTCCAGCCCTCAGTCCGAGCTGCCACCCCACCGTGCCTCTCTCACTCATTCTCTCTCTCTCTCTCTCTCTCTCTATATATATATATATATATATATATATATATATATATGTACACTCTTAAACAAATCATAATCATACTCACTTAAGAACACACACACTTAACAGACACATTTCCTTTTCAGGGACCAATAAAATCCATACGGCTCTTATATTAAATAACAACTTAAAAGAGACTGTTTGACCAACACAAAGACTAACCAAAATTCATGTTAAAAAAATAAAAAAAACAAATGAAAACTACAGACAAAAGTTTATTTTCTCCATCAAGACATTCATTTCTGTAGTTCACTGCTACCAGCAAGCAGAAATATTTCTTCTCCTGATGATGGCCATTTTGGCCGAAACTAGTCGAGGAATCTAAATGAAATAATAATAAAAAACGAAAGAATATTAATATACAACCCAGTATGTCTGAAGATTTATTTCTTTAATATTTTTTAATTTCAACATATATATATATATATATATATATATATATATATATATATATATATATATATATATATATATATATATATATTGACATTTGGAGAAACATTCATGAAAGTATGTTACGAAAACAATATCCGATAATGCATTTCGCCTCAACGGCTTTTTTAGATGGATAACGAAAATGTGTTGGTGTGTTTAACATAATTAAGTCTTTTATTATTTTTCCCAAGCTGGCGTAACTCTAGACTAAAAAGAAAAAGTAAATGAGTGACATTTAAAAAAAAAAATCGTTCGCCATTTTATATTCTCCGCCTTATTTGTCCTGAGTTTTGAGATGGGAATGCTTCCGAATGGGTAGAAAATAAATGAAAGAATTGTTTTTTTTTTATCCATGGGTTCTACATATCGACAATATGTAATAAATTTGGCGATGTAATCCCGACAGAATTCTAAGTTAGTGTTATGGTCCGGTTCCTTGTACCACGGTGATAGTCCAAGGTAGGACCAATAAAGAAGATCTCGAACACAGGTATGGAATAACACAGATATATTACAAACAGGAATATATACAGAGAAGTAGAAAGTGTTAGTATGAACAATCAAGTTTAGTAGAGAGAACAATGTAGTCTCGACCGGTATCACTATTCAAATAGTAATTGTAGTAATTGTCTGAACGCGACTCTGTTTCGGACTGCCTCTGACTCGACTGACTGACTCGCTCGCTCTGACTGACTAACAGACCTCTGATGGACTTCACTCCAGACTTCAGACTGAACAGTATTTTGAACGAGGGCATCATGTGGCACAAGGCCGTTTTAACGTGGGATCTCCGAGCCCGTGGGCTCGGCCGAAAATATCCGCTTTGAACCCGTATAAACGGGTTCAGGGTCGGTTTACCTCCCGAAAGAGACTCCGCCTTCGGCGTAGCCTCGTTCGGGTTCCTCCCCGCCCGAAGGCAGAGATTTCAACCGATCAGCCGGTCAGCCGGTCGCCTGACTTCAGACTGAACAGTATTTAGTCCCCCCACTCCACGAGGGCATCATGTGGCACAAGGCCCGTTTAATGGGATCTCCGAGCCCGTGGTCTCGGCTGTAATATGCCCCTTTGAACCCGTATAAACGGGTTCAGGGTCAGTTACCTCCCCGAAAGACTTCTCCCTTCGGCGTAGCCTCGTTCGGGTTCCTCCCCGCCCAAAGGCAGAGAGCTCAACCGATCAGCCGGTCGCCTGACTTCAGACTGAACTCTCTGCTTCCTCTTGAGGCGCAGTATTTATTACGTATGGAAGAGTCCATTATGTTATTATGGGTAAGGTCCCGTAACAGTTATTGACATTTATCAGAATAACTAATAACTCTGTCCGGTGTACATACACAAATTTGACGTTGTTTTTTTGCGTCATTAATCTGAGAAATTCAAGTCTTCTTAAATAGCTTCATTAGATCGAGACATTCATATGGATAACATACATGGCAACAAAGCCGCTCAGAAATATCTAAACGCTACACGCAAACACATACAACCGCTTCCTCAGATTGTCACGCTCGTTGTAGTAGAGACCTTGTAATTGCAGGTCCAACTATAGTTAAAAATGGCTTCGAGCTAGCGAAGTTTGTAGGTCTTGACGAGGACCATGCTTCTTTGAATCGTGTGAACTGGCGCTACATAATCACAGCAAAGAACTGTATCAAATAACGGAATCGAAATTTCTTTGGGATTGTCAACAGCGGCAACAGCTAAAAGGAACAGCACCTGCAACTCGAAGAGAAAATAATGACATTATCAGGATGCTGGCATTCCACACTACAAAGGTTAGGAGACGAAATTCCTTCCAAAATTTTGAAACTACCAGCGTCTCTCGTTTTATGCGCTCGTGAAAGATGAAATGCGTCACAAATAAACTTTTTCCAGTTTGGCATATTTCTCTCTCTCTCTCTCTCTCTCTATATATATATATATATATATATATATATATATATATATATATATATATATATATATATATAAGAAATGGACAAAGTCCGACAATTTATTTATTAAAAGACATTTTTATGTTTAACGTTCTTTTTATAGATACAAGTATTTAAGTAAATGCTCTGTTTATAATAAACAGTATTAAATAACATTTACCGGCCTGAATGTCTGAGAATATATATATATATATATATATATATATATATATATATATATAAGTATAGTCTTTAAGATAGTCTTATATTGCTATGGGACAAAGTACTAATATCAGAGATAGAGGGTGTGTAAAATATAAAATGAACATAGAAGTCAACACTTAGAGGCGACAGTCTGTTTCATGCTAGATGCAATCGCCAGGCCACGAGTCTTGATTTCTATGTTCACTTTTATATATATATATATATATATATATATATATATATATATAAATTGCACATAAAGTGCTGGTGTTATTGAAACAGTGTCCATGTTATATATATATATATATATATATATATATATATAATTAGTTTATTATAAGAGATTATAATAGAAACATTTTGAAATCGCTACACAAAAGCTTTCATGTTTCAGTACTATGATTGTATTACTTCAGGCGAAGAAATACAATCATAGTATTGAAACATGAAAGTTTTTTTGTAGCGATTTCAAAATGATTTTATTATAATCTCTTATAATAAAAATATAATAATAATAATATATTGCCCAACTTTTTATTGAGCACTTTTTAAAATGTAAATGCTAGGGACAGTGGATTTTTACTCCATATGTCCTTTCTCTTATTCGTATATATATATATAGGTAGTAATCCGTTGGTAT